GCATATATGTGGTAAAAATTTTCAGCTTGTGCATATATGTGGTAAAAAATTTTATGTCGAAATAAAATATGATGGTGAACATTTTCTACTACACAGAGGAGAGAATGGTATTATGCGATATTATTCACGAGTTCAGAATGATTTCACTAGCACTATAGCACCAGTTTTAGATCACCGAATCAATTCTTATTTTGCTCCTTCTGTTAAAAGTTGTATACTTGATACCGAGCTATTACTTTGGGATACTATTGATGAAAAAATTGGTTAGTTTATCCAGTGCATCTTTCAATTGACAGTTATATGTATTATATCTTTTGTTATAATTTTACTTTTATTTCAATGAAGAATATAATTGTTAGTTGATCAGTAACGGTTTCGAATATCGTAAAATTATAACAAAAAATATAATACAATAGCAATTTCTTCATTATTGATTCATATGCATCATTCCATTTTAACCAGTTCCTAAAAGTTGATTCCATCTAGAAAGTATTTCCACTTTTAAATCTACAATATCTCTAAAATATGAATTGTAGAGCCATTGCAAGAGATTATTCAAAATAATCTTTCTGAATAGTATTTACTTCGTTAATTAAATGAGCTCATTTAAATTTTATACAGTAAATTAAGTATATGGTAATATTTTTGATGTTAAAACTTTCATGTAGAAAAATTTTCAATTATGGAAATGGTATTTGCAGTTGGACATAATGCGCAAGCATCGGACGGTCGTATTTATGACGTTAAATCATTACGGACAGATGGAGTCGTGGAGCCAAGTGTTGCTGTATTTGATATTTTATTTTTAAATGGACAATCATTGGTAGACGTGCCGTTGAATGAAAGGCTTGTTCTTTTGCAAAGTCAGAATATCTTGCAAAAACAAGACAAATCAACAATATTCATATCAGATTTCAGGATTGTTCAGAGCAGGTATCTTTCTTATTTTTATCTTAGTAACTACTTAACGAGTTTATGCATTTTCTGCAAAAAAAAAAAATTTATTTTTTAAAGTAAATAATACAACAGTCTTTGAAAACTACTGTTTTTGATATTTTTACCCATTTTGTACAAGGAATTAAATTTTTGATATTTTTTTTTAAATTGATTCTTTTATTTTTAAAGGGAAGAGTTTATTTCGTTGTATGAAAAAGCTGTAACCAATGGTGAAGAAGGCCTGGTCGTGAAAAAAATTAATTCCTTGTACAAAATGGGTATGCGTCAGATAAAAAATGGATGGTTCAAGGTATGTCTACATTCAAATTGGTTTATTGGTTATTTCCCTTTTCACACTAATTATTTTCATATTCACTGACTACTTCAAGAAAAAAATTATATTTACAAGATGAAAACTACTGTTCATATCTTTAATAGATGCCTTTTATCTATGCCTTTTCACACTAATTATTTTCATTGAATTTTTCTGTTCTTAGTTGCATTAATGAACATTACTATTCATTATTAAATATAATTAGTCCTGAAAATTTTGAGGGAGAATATTCTTTGAATTTGAGTCGTCTTTATGGAAATCATAAACGATTTTAATAAATCGTTTGATTTCTGTTGTTTACTGATACTGACTTTTTGTAGATAAAACCTTTTCATCTTGGTAATGAAACACTGGACCTTGCAATCGTAGGCGTCGATCTTGGTAGAAATGGCAAAATAAGTAATTATTCTGTTGCCACCCTTAGAGGTTTTTTTTGCTACAATTTATGGTAGTTGATAAAATTAATAGTAGGAAGCTAATGTGAAATTTTTGCACAGGCGGAAGATTTACATTAGATATTAACTTTATTTTTTATTTGATGTCTATTGCTTTAGAGGACAAATTCTTCATGGTTGGCAAAGTAGGGACGGGTTTGGATTATGCAACGCGTAAATTTCTCGATAATCGTTTAAGACGAAATTCTGGATTGTTAAAATGTGATAAAATCCCTGATTGGATCCATGCGGATTATATTTCAAATGATTTACCAACTCATTTTGTAAGCCAGAATAATATGCAAGTTGTAGAGGTACTCAATTATAGCAGTGAATTAAAAATTAGAATTAGTATTTGATAATACTTCTCAAGTTTGCTTACTGTTATCAGATTCGAGCTAAAGGGCTACGAAATGGTCGATTATATGCTCCCACTCTAAAAAAGTACCGAGATGACAAATATGTAAAGGATATCGATCAGTATGCAGAATTTTTGGAATTTGATAAAGTATGTGTTCTTTTTCATGATGCCAGACTGGAATGTTTAATTCTTTTTCATATTGTTCATTTTCATGTTCATTTGATTTACAGAATTTACGAGTTGATAGCATAGAAAATGCCCAAAGCACAGAGCATATTAAGAAACGAACAATGATTGCAAACGAGCTTGAAAAAGATAATTCGAAAAAACGTCGGGTCAGGGAGATCAATCAGGATTTGAAAGGGAAACAAATATGTGTTATAAATGGTACTCCTGATGTATCGATCCAAGATCTTCAAGAAATTATTATTTCATATGGGGGCACTCATGTATCCAATCCAGGTTTTGACAGTTTTCATGATTTTTTAATTTTTCATCGTTATTTATATCTAGTTGGATAGCCGAAATTATCTTCAATGTAGTAAGATAGTATTGTTTAGGTTCCAAAACGCTGCTTGTGATAACTGGGGTACCTGAACATGTTAAGTCAAAATCGATTATTAGGAGTAATAAATATAATGTAGTTAGTGCAAATTGGCTCTTATCATGCAGAAGTGCTGGGAAAGTTTTACCAGTGTAAGTTAATGACTATAGATATCTCATTTCATAAAATAATTCTGCTAAAAAAAAGCTTTTACTTTTGGCCATATTTTTGATTAAACTATGAGTAATATACACATCACAGTTCTTAAACTGTTCTTTGTATCAGTAGTCAGAAAATTTTATGAAGTCTTTGAAATTCAAATTTGCAGAACAGCAGAGGAAGTTATTCATGTTGTTGATAATTCTCTCTACTCATTGTTTGGTGATGACGACAATGCTGAAATGTCTTGCATGACAGATCATTCTACGTCTTATACGGTGGCAAGCGTTAGTGCCCTACTTGATAAAATAAAAGTTCCCAAAGTGATTTTTTTAATATCTCAAGTTTAAATAGCATGATTAGTTTCAATTCCAGTATTGATAAACGTGAAAGAAAAAGTGGCATGCAGAGTACCATCTCTTCACTGTTGAGAATTTTAGCGGAAGAAACCGACAGCGGCGGAGACAAAACTCCGGAAGCAATTGTTCAGAGATGAAAAGTTTGACCGGTTTTCAGGACAAATATTTTTTTTACACGACGACTTAAACAAATTTCAAAAAATTTACATCCAAACATTGTTGCGAATGCATGGTGCTGATATATGTACAAATGGCAAGAATGCTACTCATATTCTTATTTCCGATAGGTATAATTTCCTCTTTCTTATTGTGACAAAACCATAAAAGCGTTATGCATTGTATAGTTCCCTTTTTAACAGCTTTTAATCATGCTTACTACGCGGTAATTTTTTTAACTAGGAACAGAATATTCTTGCAGAAGAAAGGCGACATCTGAATACTTGTCAAGGAAAGTGGTCGTTGTTGACATTAGTTGGTTAGAAAACGTACTGAATTTATAAGTCAGTCTTTCGGGGAATTACTTGTCACAAGTTTCACTTTCAAAACTCTCCTGTTTTGAGTTCCCCATTACATTTCAGTATGATTTATTTGTATCTTAACTGTGAATCTTGTCAAGAGAAAAAGGAAAGAAAGTTATGATGAACGCTACAAATTACTGTACCTAATTATCTTAATTGTATATATATATTTCTTCTCATGTTCTTTTGTATCTAAAATTTATTTATGGACATTTTACCGAAAATTTGCATTAAGATGAAGTTCCAAAAGTCAGAATAGTTCGTTTTCCTTATTGCATGTATTCTGAACCGATCTTCACAGTAAAATAGATTTTCAAATTTCCTGGAATGTCATAGCATCCCCGCCAACTTAGATTTAATCGTCTTCTGAAGACATAGGTTGTAAATACCGCAAATGGCTTTGATTATCTTTGAGCAAAAGTTCTTCTTTTAGTTTTTTTTTAATTTGCTATTTAAGCAAACTGACTGAAACTGTATTTTGAGGCTACTGATTACAGCTAAAATTAGGCGAAGGAATAAAACTGTTCCCAATCGAATTTAAATACATCTGGAAAAAACTGGGTCTTCACTTTCACAACATGAGAAAGAGGTTACCGAAGTTCTCAAGCTCGTTCCTTGCAGCTTCTTTTCCTTCAGTGTCCAATCCTAATATGGCAATACAGTGTGCGATGTCCAAAAAAGTATTGAACATGCTGGCCATAATTTCTTCTAAGTCACGGATGTTTCTTTCATAAACTTCGATGACTGGGGACGCTTTAAAAATGGATAGAATTTTTTGCCACTATTCGAGACTGAACTAATTACTAACAAGTAGTAGTATGACGCTTGACGAATCTGAAGCTGTTTAAATAACGTCACCATCTATAACTGTCATGATTAACTTTCTCTTCACACTTCACTTAAGGAAAAGCAACTTTATCGACAGGTTTGAATGATTTTGGACAGGTGAACATCATTATTGAAACTACTAATATTTAAATGGCTCTATCAGTAAGGGTTTTTTTAGCTTGAGTTGCCTACTAAATTGGGAAAGTATACAAATTTCTGTAGCGCCGTACAAGTATTGTTGCTTTTAAATTGCCAGAATATAGATTCGAAAATCATTTTTTTTACTACGACATGAAAGGATTGGAAGCGATATCATTCTTACAATTTTAAAATACAAGATAACACTGAAACAGAATGGATGGAAAAGATATAAAGCGTCTGCGATGGTAAGTACTCGTTAATGAATATCATCAGCAAGAACACATTTACTTGCAAACTTGAAGACAAAATTACAGTCAGAAGCAAAAATATATCACACCAAACAAAAGATAATATCTATGTTAACAAAGAACAGTGAAAGCAGAGTAGATCTAAGCAATATAATTAATGAGAAAATGCAACTTCAGCAAATTCCCTCGAAAGACTGACTACACGCAATATATTCATATTCAAGAACTAATCCTTTGACTAGCCGGCCAATCATATTTGCAAAAATTAGTTGACGCTTCGAGAAAGTTGCACTTAAAATTAACGATGCCAATATCTGAATCATTTTATTGCATAACTATCAGATGGATAAAAGCATAATGATCATTTTGATAGAAAATTTATATTTTTACTAAAAAATTAGACCTGAAATTTTTGATAAATTTTAAAAACAAATAGATAACAGCGAGAATTTGCTGATTAGAAATGACTAATTTCTTTGCTTCTAAAAAATCTCCAAATATCCGTAAACTATTACAAAAGTGCATAAGAATAACAAGAAAGCAATAATAATGCGTAAGAAGGAGCCATTACTAATATAAGAAGACCCTGTGAATTATTTGTAGCATAGTTACACAGCAAAAACAATAAATAGTAATAAAAATATAAATTACCTTGTTTAATTGAAATGAAGAGGAAAGCTAAAACACCTTGTTCACATAAATACCTTGTACGAAAACGTAAAAAAATGAGTTGAGAACAAAAAATAAGATATGAGAATATACAAAATCATACCTAGTACAATAGAAAAACAAATGACCCTGTATGAAATTCGCATTCATTAACCGGTAACTAATTAATGAATTGAATTAATCATTTAATTCATCCAATGGTGAATGATTTATCGAAAAAACATACACTACTACTACAGCATGTGGACAAGTCAACGAGCAATGCACAATTATTCAAAGCACAAGAAAGTCAAGAAAGCTTCACCAAGCAAGCATAAATTATTTTTTGTGCAGTTGAAATAATCCTTTCCTAGAAAAGTATGCAGTTTCTCGTAAAGATGAGAAACTCTGATCTGGTCAAGGAATGACCATGTACTTTATTTGTCATTTTTTTGCTCGATAAGCAATAACATAAAGCAACGTTATGAAAATAACATGATAGATTAGAAACTTCAAGATGCATTAATTGAGAGTTAGAGGACATTTCTCAATGACAATCTCATGTCAGAAAGAATCTGTTTGTGTTCTTATTAGCAATTTTTTTTAATCTCAAATCTTATCCTCCCACTGTCACAATATGATTCTTTTGAATTTAGAAAAATTGGCAGACTTTGATTCAAGTACTGAATTCCCAAAGTACCAATGAAATTCACACAATTTTCACGAAAGCCCAGGAAAAAATCAGGACACTGATATATACCAGAACAACATAATACAAGTTCAGCTATTATTAAAAAGCAGGAAGCACCTAGTACAAACTTCACCTAAAATTTGAATATTTCTCCCAAAGTTTAGATCTGATTTGAAATTTTTTTTTGGACCTCCAAGTGAAAATCACAATATTTTGTACTACTGTGAGCAAAAAGAACATTATCACTTACTGCTGTGTTTATTCAAAGAGCTCAACAAAAGTAATGCGACCCTTTCTCGATTGCTAGAACAATTATGAAGTGCAAACAAATAAAAGACTATCGTCTGTATGTTTTTTATTGCAAACAATAAAAGACATACAAACGATAATTTTCAACAATTTCAATTCCAAAATAAAGCTATTTCTCATTGGTTTTGTTGAAATACAAAATATTCAGTTCAATGCCACTGAGTACATTCAAAAATTCTCAACTATATTTATAGTTTAATTACATAAAGACATTACGAATGCTTTGACTAAATGCATTCACTTCCTAATAAATTAGTGTGAATATTTGCAACAGTTTTCTTCATTAACAAATATAATTAATTACAAAAAGCTTAGTAAGCGATTAAGTCAAAATCACATGATAACATAGGTTATCAGAAAGACGAAACTGCTTTTTCGAGACTGCACAAAGCTTTAACTAAAAACTTGTACAGTTCAATTTAAAAAGTAATAATAATGGACGTGTTCATAAGCCTTTCCATGTCTACAAGAGGCATTGAGCTTAAAATAATACTACATTACAAAAGTTATTTAGGTATAATTGTTGGTGAGAAGAAAATTACGCGGATTGAAATTGGCCAAGTGATGGAAGGAAAGTGTACCAGCCGGGAATGGTACCGCAGGTGTTGGCTTATCTTTGTTTTCCTTTTTGTGTTTCATACGACGATTTTGAAACCAAATTTTTACCTGAAACACCCAAGTATTCAATAAATCGTGGTTTTTTGGAAAAACTTTTTTTAACCAAAAAAAACGAAACAACAAGTAAGAACTAAAAACGAAATAACAATCAAACATTTAGTCCGGAATTGCACAAAAATCTAACTGTAATTTTACTTGTCTATATAAAGCATAGATATACTATTTTATTACGTTTTCATTGCTAACTGTAAGAACAATTCCAGAAACTGATGTGCAAATCTTAAATACAAATATTTAAATGCATGAAAAGTTTTTTGATTACTCATTGAAATATAGTGAAGTATGAAAGTCAGGATTTTAGCAAAACTCATAATGATGCAATCTAAACTTCAATTTCTGTGATAAAAATTTTATTCCATTTACAGCAAGAATTTATTGTTTAATAGCTAAAATCCCTTTCTTAGGGAAGCCTAAACTGTAAGTAATAATAATTACATGCAGTTCATTCATCTTCGCAGCATCTACTACTCACTTCATAAATATAATGCAAGTACTAAACGTCTGCCATTAGAATTTTACAAAATACTCTAATTGGAAGAAATTATAATTAAATATTTGAGAAATGGAATAATGCAATTAACCTGTCGCTCCGTAAGCATTAAAGAGTGTGCAATCTCGATGCGACGCTTTCGTGTCAAATATTTGTTGAAATGAAATTCCTTTTCCAATTCCAATACCTGATTCCGAGTATATGCTGTCCGTTGACGCTTTTCACCTCGGTTTGAACCTACAAAAAACAAAATGTATACAACTTAATTAAATGTGTTTCGTCTTTTTAGAAAATTTCAGAGGGATTTAACTTCTAAGCCTTAGTGTAACTAAAACTTGTGAATCTAAACATAGAAGAAAACAGTTCACTGATCCAATTGAAGCTTGTCTCTTCATAGTTAATTTTCTACATATAGCACATAACAACTAACACTAAAAGAGGTAAAGAAACAGTAGATTCCAAAAGTAGAAGGAACGCTAATTGGAAGAATAAATTTGTGAATCAGAAATCTACATCAAATAAATATTGCGAAAGTAATTAGAGCTTAACAAATAAATATGGGAGTTAGAAACAGATATTTATTATTTGAAGAAAAATGAAAATGAAGTCATTTCTTTCTACAAGCAAAGATGGAGTAGTTATTTATTTTTCAATGCTTATCAACACAGAAGTTGTATAATTTCATGTCTGAATCCTCTATTACTTATTATGCAATAAGTCAAAGGAAAAATCTTTGCAAGCAAAGTGACAAATTTATAGGGATTGAATTTTCGTTCTTTAAATAATCAGTCTATGAGCAGCAATAAACAGATCGTAAATTTTTGACTGCTAATTCTGTTTTTGTTAGCTTAATTTAAAATGTGTAAGCATTTAATTTGTGTTCTCTTAAGGAGCAAACACAATCATCTAAGTTGATCTTCGACTTCTACTAAAATTTATGGCTCTATCATTTCAGATAACCCTTTTCCTCGACACTGAATCAACATTAGTTTCCAAGCTTCAAAATTTATTACCAACTTTCCAATCCTGCACCCATAAATCGCAATACAGCACGGCTGCTGCTGCCACTCCACGACTAAAATTTATTTGCTACTGAATTCTCTTTGCTTTCCTTCTAAATTATTCTCACAAATAATGTACTACACTTAACAAATTGCTTGAAATTAAACGTACGCATATTCATTTCGTACTATTTTGTCTCTAATTCAATCACAGATCTTCCATTATGCATAAAATATTCAAGTAGGAAATTCGTAAATATCTAAAAATTACAAAAAAAAGCAGTAAAACTAAAATCACGAAAATACGTACGTAGCAAATTTTTTTGTCCAGTTTTTTTTATAAGTTGCCATATTTTTACTTTTCGCAGGTAATAGAGTTTTACAATTTGTTGAACTAAAAAATTAAGTTTAGGTTGGAAATAGTTTTCATAAGGAAGCGGCAGAAGTATAGACAAGTAACAGCACCAGTAATACCGGTTTCGGTTTCTTGTAAAAGAGGAACGAGAAAAGTTTTGTGACGTTTACTGGTAGTTAGGTTCGATAGATGTATACCTGCACCAATACACCATTAGTCGAGAAAAAACAGTAGGTGGTATACATCAGACAGAATCATACTCCAAAATGTGTTCCTGATTTCGCAATAATGAAACACATCTTATCAAAAGGAAAACACCAAACATACCGACACTATTTCTTGTTTTAAAGATTCAAACTTTTAAAGATTTCTATATTCAAATAAATTGCACATAGAAAGAGGTAGTGCCGCAGTGTAGCCATCATTCATTTTACCTGCTAAGATCAACCGCAAAATTAGAATCACCCCAGATAGGCGAAATTTTTTGTCTTGGAAAAAATTCAAAATTTCAAGCTAATAATTACATTTCGAAGAGTAATCTATTATGTGTGATTTTTAACCTACATATAACAAATGGTATCAGAAATATGTTTAAGAGCAGACATATTCAACGGATAAATATAAAATGAACACGATTCACTCGTCGTAGAATTTTAAAAAGCAAATAAACAATGAACTATTAGGCTACAGTATAATAGTCTGTTTTAAAATTTGGGCATGCAATATATTGCAGTAGTAAAAAAGGAGTTATTAGGATTACAAATTTTTATATCAAAAATAGCGTGAAATGAGAAAGTAATGGCAAGATTAGAAATTTTGATTTGCACTTTCCTAAAACTGTCAGTGTGCTCAACTAAAGAATGAATATTCTTGCTTCCGTAGATTAATGAGATGTGACAAAACTAATGAAACAGTATTAAACAGATTTCAATTTTTTGGTTCTATTTCTCGCAGTCCAAGCAGACTTCATAAGATAACAAAAATATAGACTTGGAAGGAGACTGGAATTCATGATCCATGAAAATACTATTCCAATTCAAAAAATACTTCGGTAAAATGAAATAATGAAGGAAAAGAAAAATTATGCAAGATTTGACTGTAAGAGATCTTTCGTTAGCATCAAAAATAGTAGAAATCAAACTCAGAAACAATTTTGGCTTATAAGGAAAGCACTTGCATGCTTGCTTGGAAATAAATATATACGATCAAGTAGGGTGCATTATTCATTCTGCATTAACCTGCTCTCAATCATGAAAGTGAATGATTACATTAACCACTGCTATATTCAGAAATTTGCATTTCGGAGAGAAGAAGCAGTTTCTGATTTATAATTATTTCCTATTTTGATGTCGGTAAAGTGGAAGCTGCTTGCTTTGTAATATGCATCATAAATCAATATTAGCTGGTGATATTTATTCGCCTCGTGGCGCTCAATTTGAATTACTTTTGTCAAATTGTCAGATGACTCACAACTGCTCTTGCAAAAAGTTATACAAATGTGTAATACTTAGATCGTGTTATTTGTTGCAAAGTAAATCAACAAAGATATGAGTAAGCAAAGAAGAAGCTCATTTTCTGCTGCGAATACATCACGTGTTTCATTTTTCAAAATTCATAACTAAACGATAGATAATTCCATTGTGAAAGCAAGCAAGTATAATGTATGTCCCTCTACGTCTGTGAATGTGAGTGTGTGTTCGAATGTCAGCTGAATGAAGAAGTTTGCCTTGAGAGTATTTGTCAGTCCTTTGTCGGTAGTTCCTCTTGAGAGAAACTGCCGATTTTCGATGTCTTCCAGTGAGACAGCTGCTCCTCAGCACAAAAACTTTACTTTTTTATCAATTCAAAATCCGGTATTCAAATTCCTCTATGATTAAGCATATCTAAAAATGTTACAAATCATATTTTCCGCACAATTCATATCAAACACGATTTTGGTACCAATTTTTGCGAATATCATCAACTAATAAGTTATTCAAGTCCATACGTTACTTTACTCAAAATTTTTATAAAGTCGAATATCTCAATTCAAGTTCGTTTCGCTACAAATAAATGAAAAGAGTAATAGCAATTTTCCAGCTTAATAAAATGATAAAGTGGTCTCACTATTGCAGCACTTTTTCAGATTATACTTAGCAAATGAAAATGAGGCCTTTAGAAGAAAATACCACTGCAAGACTGAATAAGAAAAGTGTCAAAAGCAGTCACAATTTGAAAATGATTTGAATTTCTAATAAAAAATTCGATACAACTTACTTGAGCTAATATGCCAATTGCTGCAGTTTTGCAATTAGCTGACTAAAGTATAACTTTTCTGGCTGTTTTAACAGCATTTTGAGAGGGGTGGATTAACCGGCAATAGTGTCACCAAGGAAGAACTAGTTGATGAAAGGATGCGTTTCTTCCATAATAAAGACAAAAAATTGGCATTTAAGCTCTAGTACCGTAATTAATCATAGCGGTAGTTGCAAAGAAAGCCATCAACCCTCAATTTCATCCATCATCCCTAGCAATTTCTTATTTTTCAACAAAAGCTCTCAATTTGTAACTTCAGAAGCTCTTTGTTAAGATAACAAAAATACGACAAAATTATATTAAAAAGTGCTAGCTATATATTTCAAAAGTGTCATCAAACATTCCAGAATCTTAAACTAAAACAGAAAATTGTACTAAACATAAACATGAAACTCATAAAAATATAGTTCGCAGTATAGCAAACACGATTTTAAAAACAGCCAAAATAGTCTAATTCTGAAACAAAATATCAAAAAATAATCTACCCAAATAACAGTAATAATTCGCAACGCTAAAGCCACCACTCTCATCATGAAACTCAATCGCAGAAAAGGCTTATTCAAGTCTCAAAACTTTTCCAGTTTATCTTAGCACTGTCTGCGTACATCTCTATTTTTTCTACTAAACGAACCAAATATGAATATTCCACAATTCGTTCAATATTGAATAAATGGATTACCATGAGTAAGAGAAGTAATCGGGCTGCGGTGCGAAAATTTCAAGAAATCTCTATCAAAGTTTCATATCAAACTAAATTACGGATAAAAATAGATGCAAATAATAGGCTATTGAATCACTGATTGTCAACAACTATTTATTAACTATCAGTGACCCCAACAACCTACTGTCTACTTACAACCTTGGAAAATTTAGATAATCATTCTTTACATTCTGTTTTTCATCAGAATTTTGAAATTGATATATCAACTAAGGTCATTTGCAAAACTGAAGAAGAATGATAAAGTTGTTACAAATTGAACTGCTGGAAGAAAAGCAAAAAAAAAAGGTGATAATGAATTTTTAAATTTCTGGTTACGGCTTCCTGTCACTATTAATTATCCAGATAGTTTCTTTAACAGTAACGACAATAACCGCATTATTTTAACATTCAAAAATAATTCATCAATTTATGACACAAATGTTTTTCACGACGACCTCCAATTCTCCAAAATGATTCCACTTTTGTACTTTCCACTTTGGTAAGCCATGAACAGGTTTGCTTGATTGTTTTTATGACTAATAGAACATGTCTTTATCAGATGCTTATCCTTGTCAGATGCTAGTGTGAAGTAGCAGAACTTAAACATCAGAAAAACGGAAAATAATTGAAATTAATTGTATCATATGTTCGTAGTACGTGAACGAGATAATTTGCCATAAACTAAATCAGTTATTCTTTGTGACCGACAGAGTGGAAAAATATTGAAGAGCTTCCTGACTGCAATGAACAGTCATTAGTAACTATTCTCATTAGGAACTGTTTACTGTAAAATCTTCAGGCCAAAGGCAATAGATAGTCAGCAACTTCATGTTGTGCAAATTCTTTATTTTCATTAAACAAATCTATATAATTGATGATTCTGTTCTGAAAGCCGTCAAATTCAATTTCAGATGCAAACTCATGTCTGATAAGTTAAGATAAACGGAAAAATTCACTGAAATATGTGCAACAGATGTATATACTTACACATTTGAAATATAACACTCTCCATCATCAGCAAAATTTGCGGCAGCCATCTGGTGCACTATACCAAGTCCCGAAGGTTGTGCCCGGAGATGCCATCTCTGGCAGCCATAATTAATGATATACTGTAAGAGATATGGTTCGTCTCCGCGATCATATTAATCATCAAATAATTTATTTCTCTTCCCAGGCATTATGCAAATTTATTGCGATCTGTTTAAAATAATCAATTTATGGTTTTACTCAACTATATAGAGTGGAAAAATATTGAAGAGCTTCCTGGTTTCTACTAAATTTCCAAGATCATCCTGACCTTCTTTAATTCCTAAAACATTTGAAAGCAATAGTTTTCCCACCCATTTCAGATACAGTACAGTTTACGAGTAATGAACCACCACGCAGCATAACTTTTCGTACTTCTGAATCTTTTTGTAAAGACCAGTGTAATATGTGATCTCCACCTAAGAAGTAATTTTGATCACATAAAATGTACAAAGTCTGAAAAACAAATAATTTCAGATCGGCCTAATTTAGGTTTTATACAATTTTTGCATCATGAGTATCGATTATGATTTCGTTTAGTATCTTTATCTTGCATCCTTTACAGTACCGTTTTAATTAACTAAAATGAAGATAATTTTACCGTTTCGTAAAAAAATGTGGGATGTATTTTTCGCCATACTTTTTAATTAACTTCTGGGTTGATATAAAACGAGAAATTTGTACAAATTCCAACCCATCATTAATTTTAATCTTCCTTTTGAGATAATAAATGACAGACAGCATTAAATGGGTGACGGTAAGGGAAATATAATTGGTCAATATATCAACACAACCTTGCTATTACCCTACCTATTCACTCATTGAACTACCTACCTATCTACCCTCTATCCATGCATCCGTCCATCCACCTGTTCTTTGGCTCTAGGCAAACGTGAAGTAGTGTCTCGTTTTGTCTTTTCAATTTCGATTCAATTTTCCTTTCAACGATAAATTTGTGATCAGAGCGCAACTTTGCTGTTTCTAAGATAAAACTGCGAACAAAAATAAGTTATGACTACAAGTCTCACTCGACTGTTAATCCGTTCCTTCCTAAAGAAAAATTGCAAGCAAAGCCATCACTTAATTTCTCAATAAACCACAATTTATTTCAACAATTTTAATGCAAAAAATCAATTTAGAACAGTTACAAACATTTCTTAATAAAATTATCTCGAGGGATTTATTTCAGCGTGCTGATTGTTTGCATTGATAAAACTCATTCATTTCACGATGGATTGCAAATAATTAGAAACGGCAAAGTGGCAAGGAGACAGTTTAAAATCAGCCAAATGAAGCGACCGTATACCTATAGACAAGTTGCAAAGAGCTCAGAAATTTAATGGCAAGATGAGTTCAGTTACATGTAACCATGGTCACCGAATTCAACTGGTGTCTAGATCAGCAATCTCACCATTTATTATGATAAAGAAAAGCATATATTCACGTGAAATGCGAAATTTTCCAAATATATATTAATTTCAAATGAAAGCAGTTCAAGTAATCAGAAGTATTTTTTCATGCATGAAAATAAATAATTAACATCTTAAAACTAAATCTGAGAGAAAACAGCCAAATTCATTCTTCATTAAGAGAGAGGGCAGAGAAAAAAGCGCTGCAAAATTCGCTCTGCAGACGTGGTAATTACTCCTACGTTATTACTTCTCATTGCTACCGTATACTTAGGAAATGCCATATACGAATAAATGTTGTAACAACGTAATACTTGATTGAGCAAGCTATGTTCTTTGTAAGAACTTGCTTAATTCTTAATAAAGTACTACATATTTTGCATATCTGGTACGCAACTGCAACTGATTATAGAAGGAATGGTTGATTTGAGTACAAATATTCAGAGAAAGTGCTTAGCTTACTGTAATTATATAGTTTAACTTTTCGCATTTCATTTCAGTAAAAAATGTAGTAAACGTAGCAGTGGTATAATACGACACTAGTACAGGCATAATCTTCATATTGTAAATGAATACTAAGAGTTTTTTATGCATATGCTGTTGCCCACAATTTAAACATGTTCATCGTTATCGAATCCTAGCCAGTGGACTAAATAAAGAAAGCTGAATAAGTAGATTAATCTCTACTCCCTCAAATTCATTCCTTAATTTCTTTTAATTAAATTAAAATACGTTGACTGAGGTTTGAAATTAGTTGCTGCTGCTAATAAATTTTATCTTTCTGAACTATTTGAACTTAAAATTATTACTACATAATACAATAAATGAATGCGTGACTCATCAAGAATCATAATTTATAGCAGACACTAATAAACTCTACAATTCCTTTCACAAAAGTTTCAATTAGAACCCTCTTGACATGATGGAAATAAGAAAAAATTCTCAGTGAATCGAAGTATACCAAAGCTCCAAGTTGGTTTCATAACTGACCATCCATCGTAACTTTTTAACATACAAAAACCCAATTAAAAGTAATCAGAATCGAAAAATCATAATTTCTCATGCTTCCAGCTAATTACAATTTGCTGTGCCTAATTTTTTCATCCCCTTTCCATCATTAGAAATAATGTCTCTAATTATTAAGCGTAAAAAACCAATAACTTTTCGCTTATTTGTCCGTACTAACTCTCAGCTACATCTCTTTCGCATGATAAAATTGTTATCCTATTGCCAACAATGATACCCAAAATCTGAAGTATATATGCTAGCGAAAGATTATTTTCTTATCAACTTCTATTCAAAGTTTTTATCAAAATTCAAAATTCAGGTCGAAAGCAAAAGTCAAACAACTCCATGCTTGCGAAAATTCTCATAAACACCATATAAACCTGAAGGTTACAAATAGCTTTGAAGCACGCTCTTTACGGTCAATTGATTCTCATTCATTTTCAAAAGTACTCAAAACATTAAGAAAAAAGTTTGCAGCTTTTCAAGTCAGTGTTGCTTATATAGTGATCAAAAACTCTTAGAACCAGCTGCACACACATCTTTAGCTTAAGCGCAACGAAAAAGTTAAAAATTTAAGCCAAAAATAGAAATGGATATGTCTAAAAGTGATAGCAAATTAAATACAAAGAATCGTATGATAAAATATCATTCAGCATTATAGTCTACCAATCAAATCCTAAGAATAACAGAAAACGTATGCGTGAATTTAATGACGTCTTGTTCACTTACATGATTATGGTTGCAGGCAGATTATATGAACGATTTCACATATATAAATTTAAATAAAAAGAGAAATCAATAAAAAACACTGTGTGACTACACTTACTCATTCATATGTAATTCTTTTCATTATCCTCAACATATTTATCAATTCTCATTGAAATCAATAAGAAATTAATGCAAATGTATGACATGCAAAACTATAAAAAAGAGAAATCCAAGTGAAATGGTTTTAGCTATGCAAACTGAAAATTCAAAATCTTCAGTTAGAAATTATTTGCCAGTAATAAAACAAAAATCAAAAATTTTGATTACTTTCGAGAATCTTTCCAGAATCTATTTCACATTACTCACTTTCTAATTTTTGGTAGAATTTTTTTCGCTATCCAATTTTTAGGCTTTTTAGAGATTTAGCAATTCAAGAATCAACAGTTCTATTCGTTACTAATTACACATTTGAGTTTACTCACTCAATAGCTGTCAAACAGAGAACTATGAATTTCCATAAGCGTTATATGCAAAATGCTTCAAATTTTTAATCTTTTGCTACTACAAAAAATAAAACTTAGAAAGCAATTTAGGAAAATAAGAAAGTAATAGGAATGTTATTTGCACAGTAATATGAAAACAAAAAGATGAGATGGAGTTTTCTACCATCCACTTTATACTGCTCCTAATATCATCACGTATTTTCAACTACAGTATTTCGTATCAAATCACATAAATGATGAAGAAACTTACTGCGAAAGTCATTTTACGATTAATATGGATATTTCTTACTTCGAAATGCTTGGAACAATACTCAAGTGAGGAGTGAATTTGGTTTACGAATTTCAATCAGTCCGAACACGCAGAGCAGAATGTTGTTATAAAAATATCAAATAAATGGTTTGGCACCAAGAAATAATCAGTTGATGTTTATTAGGAGTATATGATACAGTTCAACTGAAGATATGGCAAGACTAACCATTGGTAGAATGAACCCGGGTCATCCAGGGATACACAGCAACACTATTCTTCTCTTCATCGTCATCAACTTTCTCTCCATCCTTCTCATTTTTGTTCCAGTCTGAATTGTTGAAACCACAAGATGAACTCTGCAATAAACATTAAACTTCCTTCCAATTTTCTATATTGAAGAAAAAATGCGGAAGTGACTTAACTCAGAAATCTTTATTAATCTGTATTTTCCTCTCTGGTCATCTTTATTCCTTGCTAGAAAAAGTTCCAATTACAAGTATATGAAAAATAATTGGCTTATGCTAATAAACCGCAGATTTATATATTCCTGGTAGTTAAGTGCTGTCATGTAAATTGATAAGTAGAACCGATTTTAAAAATATTGCTCATTTTCCAGTACAGAAACAAAAATATCGTTAAAAGCAAGAAAATAAACAGAGTTGGTGCTTATCATAGCAGTAAAGGCCTGAGTGAAAAAAGGGGGAAGATTAAGTAGGACTCTTCAACACTTTTGAAACATACAATGATTAGGTAAGTTTTGCTTTCCACAGATGCGAGTGCAAGTTTTCTTGCACAGGTTATGAGAAGGATAGGGACGGTTAATAAGTCCTTGAATGAACTAAATGATGATGGTGATTCTATCAAAATGAAGTGTGGATGAGTAACTTCGTAAGCCTTGAAAGTTATTAAACTATAGTAGAGATAGTTCAGCTAACCAGAAGTTCAATTTTTTAAATTTTTTTGCAAATGCAATTCTAAACTTAGACACTTTTAACTGAAAGAAAATTATTTTTGCTCAAGAAAGAAACTACCGAAAATTATTAAAATGAAATAGTATTTGTAGCATAGTACTGTGTCTTTTTATTAAACTTGCAACTTTTAATGGCATAAGAAGAAAAGAAGAGACATTTACGCAAGCAGTCATAAATTGTAATGAGAAATAAATGGTTTCTACGGCAAAGTGATTTAACGACGTGTAATGGATGCAATAAATTTCAAATAATTAGCTGCATGCCTCCACTTGATTTATTCAAACTCATTAATAGCCTCAATTGCATCATAGTTGGACATTTATTTCTACACAAAAATGCTACTTCTGGGATATTTTTCTATGGACAAGCACTCTCAAAACGAGTCCTAATCAGATCTAAATTAATCATGCTGAACTGTCACTGAAACTATTTCATATTCTTACAACAGTGATTATACTTACAAAGCTAAATATTACAATTGCAAAGTAACACGACTACCAGTTCCATACTGCGAGTAGAATAAATAATTTTAATTTACTTTTTTAATGCCTTAAAGTAATTGCATAAATTCACTGTACTGTTTAAGCTGTATGCTGTATCGAATATTACTGAACTAAGAGAATATTTGACATTTTGAAAATTAGAGACTTTTGCAGTATATTAACTGTCATTAATATGTTTGGCACTCAAGTTTAATTTCTCCTGCCCAAAGTATACTTTTTTTCAAAAAAAATGGTGGTTGATATGAGTTGTTAAGAATATGAGTAAAATTATCCAAATATAATTTGATTATTCCAAATTTGCAAAATAATATTATTTCACTTATTATCTTTAAATGTACAATACATTAATGGAGCCAATAATCTGTTCAAATTTGCATTCAAATCTATGGAAACAGGGTGGTTCAGCTGTCATGTGATAACAAAATTTTTTTCACTCATTTCAATTGAAATATCCTTCAAAAAAAATATTTTAATTGAATAAGTCAATTGATATTTTTTAATTAATTCATTCATTCGAATACGACAGTTTTCTGCCCCCCTAAATTTTTTATCACGAAACTTCATACCTAACATTAGACTAAGAAACACCCTGAAGAGACAAATCTGTACCTCCGCACCTTTGATAGTCAGTTCTGTACTCCTGATTTAAGTACAAGAGCATTCTATTCCATAATTTATAGAACTATCTCTGGGAATTTCATGATAACGATTAACTAGAAGCGAAACTGTTCATTGTGAATATATGAGAACATTTTCTTTGCGTGCGAAAATTAACATGATGAACTTTTTAAAGCAAATGCGTTGAAGTTTCAGCGTTATGAATGCTACTGAATTTAAATCAATTTTTTCCTGTAGTCCATGTATGGGAAGTAACTCTAAATCAGCAACAGTCAACTGCTTTCTTAAAACTGATGACAATACGTGTTTGCATTTACGTTTAGTGAGTACATTAAATGTCGTTAAAGAGTTGTTCTTCCGTCCAATCAAATTTTTTAAATCGTTTGAAATGAAACACTAATGATTCCTCTAAAGATATGCCAATCCAAATAGTTGCTCTGTAGGCTATTAGCTGCATTAATTTTTACTAACTATAAAGCAATGTGTGAAATGGCACGAACCGGACCATGGTGACCGGAATCAGGACCATTGTATTGGGCATTTGGATAATAAGGAGATCCTGATGGTGGTACAGGTGGTGCAGGTGTTGGCCCCGCTGGTTGTGGTGTATTATTACTTGTAGTAGTTGATCTCGGATTGGATTGCTGCTGTTGCTGATCATAATAATAGTTTGAGATCTCGGATACGAAACGCTCAGCTGATGTCATTCTTATAACTATTCTTCAAATTTGAGCGAAACGTTCAACTTATAACAAGTATAATTATATCAGCAGTTTTGATGAAAGTAACGTAAATATCAACAGTTTCAACAGAACCGTCCTTTCCGAGTAGCCAAGTACAAACGTGGTGACGTCACTTTCGTTTTGTTTTAGGATATGGAAATATGGAATTTAAGCGACTCAGCCACATACGCGCATACACTAAAGCGTTCCAATTGTATCCACTCTTTAAATAGAGATATGCGCGAAGTTGTTGATGACCTAAAAAGAGAGGTTAATTACCAAATATCTACTGAGTACTACCAAAGAAACTTTACGGAACGATACAAATCCAGAAAAGTTAAATTAGCCCAGCTATGGAAGCGGACAGCGGTGAATCGTTTGGTGAAGTGAACAAGAGGATGCGAAGGGAAGAGAGAGAGCATTGCAATGCTGAAAGCTCCACCCGTCTTGCACATCTGTACGCGAGAATTCTCCGCCTTTTCTATTTGCAACCAATGAACGTATAAGTAAGGCGTGTCCTCTGATAGATGCCTACCAGAATCATACAACATGTTTACAAACAAACCGACTGATAGAAAGGTAGATAGGAACGATCGGGTTGGTAATGATAATACCACATGAACATCAGTTATAATAGGAGCGATTAGACGATGATAAGGGAAATTTAAGATTCGTCGAGTCATGATAGGAGTGCTAATTGAGAGCATAGTCATTAATAGCTTGTCTGAGGCGAAGGTGGAATTAAGTGATCAATTGATAAAACACCGAGTGAAAATTTTGAAGTCCATAAAAATCTATTAGCAGTCTGCATGGCAATTTGTAAAACTGTTTAGCTTGACAAGCAATTTTCTTTTGAGCAGTTTTCTTAGCCATGGAATATTACTTTTATCCATGTATTCCTATTTAAAAAAGGCTGAGAACGAAACTGAGACTCAAGAGAAAGTGATTGAATGCAACAATTAATTAATTAGCTCTGGTGGTGTGAGAAGAAAGTAGGCATACGAATATGAGCGATTCAGAAGGGACATCGAAAGAATCAGAAGGGAAAATGCAAGAATCAGAAGGAAATTTGAAGGATAGCGAAGAAAGTAAGAGGGATGTGAGGCATTCCATCTCATCCGTCAGAAGACGTCGGCATTCTTCAGAAGGCGGTTACTTCAAAGGGAGAATCAATGAGATTGAAACCCCGCTAGTGCCACTTTCCTTCTCCCCGGGAAACACTCCTCTTGCCTGTTCCTCTCTCTACTTCACATCTTTTTCTCCCACACTCATCCATTTTAAACTTTCTTAAAAGTAGGAAAAGACAGGCCACATTCAAAACACTCATTTTACGTCAATATCCTCATTCTCCACGATCTTCAGTAGTTATCCAAACGAATAAGAACAGACAAATTTACATGAACTTCGGTACATCTGTTTACGTGTATAAATGTGTGTATACATATGAGCTGTGAATAATTGTGCAAAAAATAAAAATATGCACATACAAACAACATGCTCACACACACACATATATATACTTACATACACTTACACACGCACACGAACACATACTAGTACGTATATGTATATACACGTACGCGCTTACACACAGACAGACAAAGAAGTACAGACATATGTATGTGTATTTATATATATGCAGGCAGAATAAAGGCGAAGTGATCAATCAATTTCTCCCCTTTTGATATTTTTTGGTGCCAGTTGAATAAATGAAAAAAAATTTTTTAAATGGTTATTTAAGTTTTTGCATGAAGAGAAGTAGCGAGAAGCAACTGTAGCGTGAGCTCAGTTAATCTGTTCATAAATCGACTAGATCCCTCGTGAAGTTTCCGAGATATCTCAGAGGTAGTAAAAAAACACACAAGAACGATTCTGGGAGTGAGAAAATTTCTTGCCGTCATTTATCTAAAAGCATATAAGTGCTAGTAATTACTATAATATTAGTAATCAGTTGCTGGGTTATACTTATCATAGTATGAGCAGTAATAGTAATACGCGCGAAAATAAGATAATTCGTTTGTTTTGCTCCTATTGCTTGTTTACTTTTTGTAACTTTTTAATGAGTGTTAATCTGAATTTTGCGTAACATTTGGAGTCCAGTTACGGCTGCGAAAAATTTACTGATGAGATTTGTTCCTTTTTCAAGCTAAATTCCAGAAAAAAATCGAGCATTCATTGCAAAAATAGTAAAAAAACCTTTGACGCTACACATTCAACTCAATCTTATGTGTATGTTGTGCGTGGTACTTCCTGTTTCATTATCGAAAGCAGTTTATAAAAGTAATAATGATATGATGGTAACTGTAATAATAATAAAAGTAATGAGAATAATGATAATGATCATTTTTGCTGTAGATGATGGTTTGCTTGTTCAGAGTGATTAAATGATGTGATTTATTGTTGAACAGAAGTCAAAATAAGTAGAACAAGTTGTGAAGAGTAATAGATGAAAGGGCTGATTGAGGAAGCAAAAGAGACGTAGCAGCTCAGCAAAAGGCATACATTGCGCATTTTAAACAACGCAAATTAACTACTGCTTATATCCGGCCAAATCACGGTGACTTGACGCTGACGTCACAGCACTTCTGACTTGACGTGAAGATAATAGCTCTCTCCTTTTGCTCAAAAACGATAGAAATATGTTATTGATGGAAATTCAAAAAAACAAATGACTGTAAACTATATCAACTATTTTTGTTTCGTTGCTGTTTTAAAATCAGACTAATGCTAGGATGCAATTCGGTTTGCTTCTGTATGACCCACACTAATAGATGCATTTATTTTGGAATCAGATTGTAACAATTTTGTTTCCAAAAATATAAGTATTGAGTGGGGATGCTGTAAAGAAACTGACGTTCTATTTAATTGACAATGAACAAAAGAGACTTCTAAAATCGCGAAATTCCTGTGAAGATACGAAAGTGATAAGTGATTATCTTTTTTTTGGAACAGTTCTCGAGGAACGATCTTTCTCATTCTATCATCTAAAATGTTGAAAATTTCCCTCCAGAGTTCTCAGATTTGCAAAATGTTCTAAAATTCTCCAGTTTGTTCATTTATGGTGCGAATGTTATCTCTTGTCTAAAGCAAACTCGATGTGATTTTTATCCTTGAGCAGCTGTAGACAATTACAGATTCTTCCAGTTGTTTATCAAGAATTACTTGACAGATAACTTGCATACACTCACATAAGTCACAAAACGTCAGAATATAAATTTAAAAATTTAAGCTAGAAAAATTAGGTATTCTAAAGGTGAAATGGAGCAATTAAGAATGGTATGACCGCATGGCACTGCTGCAGAATTAGCATGAAACGTTTCATTATTTCAAGTGATAAAATGGTTTAATTACCATTCGAAGAGATTTCAGATTTAAAAAAAAAAAAAACTAGCAATACGATTGCATTTACAGCTTTACTTCGTTATTTTATTTATCGAAGTTGGTCTGTTGAGCGAAGATCTCGTCATTCCTCCAATTTTTCTCTTTATAGCCATCATTCTATCTTATGATTCCCTGATCACCTTCTAGCTTTGATGTCACTATGAGCTCATGTATAAGTCTCAATCTGACCGACGAATAATATGATAAAGCAGTCTAAAAAAATTCAACAACGGATACAGGGAATGATAACGAGCAGGGCAGGAATTTTTTTCATCTTATTTTCATATGAAAATTGAAAAATGTCTCAGACGACCCCTCACTTTTTGCTATGCAATTATTATTCCTC